CAAAGATTAATAATAGAGCAAATAAGAAGAAGACATACACTAATCTAAAATACAACATTAACAAAGGATGCAATGAGACAATCACTTATTTAAACCATTGATTATCAAAATTTTCACATCTTTCGTCTTTAAATTTGATGTCACGACCAACACCAATCCTACGAATAATTTCCATAATATTTGCCTTGATAAGAACTTCTGTTAGAACTCTTTCATATGAAATGAAGGATTTGTTCATGACTTTGGAAATGGTGATACACTCCTTAAGATAATTGAATATGACTCAAGGCAGATCTAAAGGAGTGCGCTTAAGCAGAAAAAGAATCAGAAGCTTATCATCATGATACAGAAAGTCTTTATGGAGACCACGGGGACGAAGACTCATCAGAATGAACTGAAACCATCCTTTCGAGACAGGCATAAGTTTTTCAGGATTTGTGGGTTCCAAACCAGAAGAGACATCAAATATGGAGATCATGTTAACATCAAGTGTGCATCTAATTGAAGCATGACATGTAGTGATACCCTTTTGAGGACACCTAATAGCCTCAACAATGTTTACAAAAGTTAAGGAAATAGGAAAACCATAGATAACAGATGAGATAGAGAGTCCATCCACACTAATAGAGGCATTTATCTAAAAATATTTTAAAATTTTTGGATAGATGGGTCCTCTTAGCATAGTGATGTATCCAATCCAATCTTGAAAATGAACACCAAGGTGGAAGTCCTGTCCAGCACATGCTGGTATAATCAGATGTTTTTCATTGATGACTTCTAAGAAGTCATCATTACCATGAAAGGTTCTTGGATTCATGTTGAGAAGTTTTGAGAAGGATTTTTGTGAGGGAATGAGTGGAGGATGGAAAAAAAATAGGAGTTTAAATAAAGAAAGGAAGAATACGTAACTGACAAGATAAATGATTTTACTTACGTAAGATAATTAGACTTGGGAAACTCAATAGTAAATGACTGAGGAAAGGCAGAAGGACCGTTGTAACTCCCAAGATTCTTTATGAGAGAGAGTAAATACATAGGACAAATGAAACACGAAAACATGTAGATCGTACTTATCAATGTCTCTAATCTTATTAAAGATGACTCGTCATTTTTTCTTGATTAGGAACCGAAAGAATAAAATAATTGAATATTTCTTATTGATGTCTTACATCACCAAGTTTTCAGATAATCTGTCTAAAAGAAAGCTAGTGAATTTTTCTCAAAATTCCTTGTACTAATCAAGAAGTGGATGGTTAGTGGCAAATGAAATATATTAAGTAAAAGAAAAAAATTGTACCAATTTTCTTTTGTTAGAAATTAAACAAAATATAAGGATAGCCGAATTTTTATATAACTTAAAAACAATTATAGAGGTAAATAGAACAACAATTTTTGTTAACCAGGAAAAAAATTATAAGTGTGTGCACAAACAAAGTGAACACGATACAACTAGTAGACATAACTAGAATTAACAAAAATCTAAGGACTTCACATCTTTCTTCTACAAGTGCATTTTTCAAGTCCATTATACCTAACATCTCTAATTATCTCGGTCTTAAAGAAGAGTGCAGAGAGAACTCTTCCAAATAGGATGAAGGACTGATGTTGATTTTTGGAGATAATAATTGAGTATCTAGGATGGTTGAAGATAGTTTGAGGTAGATCAACCTTTTCATGATTCACAAGAAAGTAGACAAGAAGTCTGTCATCGTGAGTTAGAGAATTCATGTTGATACCTCTTGGACGTAAGTTAGATAGCATAAGTTGAAACCATACTTTAGCAATGGGAAGAAGATTGCTAGGATTTGTTGGATTACATCTTATGGACATGTCAAAAATGGTACTGGTTTTTTTCAATCAAGGAGTGTTTGAACCTATGAAGTTGAACATTAGTTTCAGTTTGAGTATACTATATTGCAGCAACAATGGTTGCCGGAGTGATGGTGATAGTGTTGCCAAAAACAAATGATGAGATAGAAGAACCATCAAATTTTGCAGAAGCATACTTCAAAAATTCTTTAACCAGATTTGGGTATATAGGACCATGCAGCATTTTAATGTACCTAGACTATCCTTAAACATCGATGTTCTGAGTTAAATTTATCTCATCAATGCTTAGTCAAGGAACATTTAGGCGGAGTTCACAGAGAACTTCAAGGAGTTCTTCATTGCCATGAAATGTTTTTGAGGTCATTTTCTCTAGGTGAGATATAGTTTTAGCGGAAGACGTACACAAGAGGTGAGGAAGATGAAGACATGCATGGAGACTTAAATAGGGAAGAGGAAACGTGTACAAAGTGAGAAAAGATTTGATGCGGAGATTCGAGATGATGGATCACTTAATGATAAACATTTATAGATTGACAAGTTCTAAGAAGATGATAGGACATAGAAGTAGCTTTGGACAAAAATAGGTTATATAGTGTTATCATAAATTACTTTCAATGAGATGGTTTACCAAAAGTATATAAATAAATAAATAATACAAATATTCAGTAAAGCATTAATTATTAGTCAATATATTTTTGAATTCTCAAAAAAAAAATTCTTTACAATTTTATTCTTCATTCAATATCTAACATAGTTGAGATGTGTTCTTTAAGTTCATAAGGATATGATTTCTTTTGAGCATAATTTTAAATAAAAGAGATATCTTAAAGTGTTTAGTTTTTAATTGAAGAATAAAATTTTCACAAAACAATAGAGAATACTAAAGTGGAGACAGAAAAGTTACTTACAAACTTCTGATGATTTTTCGGTTGAATTTGCATAAGAAACATCTTTTGACTCTTGCGGATGACTTTATTACCTCTCAGATGAACAATCTGACATTCTTCAGAGTTTCTCTTGAGATTCTTTTCTGGTGGATGAGTACATCTTCTAACCATGAGTTTTCTCATCTTCTTATCCCTTTTCAGAGAAATATTGACTTGGTTTTATGTTCTTCTTGCACCAAGGAACTTCTGATCTTGACTTTCTGATTGGTATTCTTTGACTAAGACAGTTGCACTTCTGAGAGATAGCAGTTATTTCTTCTGCAGTTGTTTGATGATTTTTTCTCATAAATGGCTCAGTTGACTATTGAAAGAAATTATTCTTATGCATCTTGTTCTTGATATTTTCATAATCATGATGCTTATTCTGATAAACTTGGATGTTTGAAAGGATCCCTCTTTCTTTCATTTTAATCTATAGAATTCATAGTTTTTCTCTTGTTGGATCTTTCTACACGGTTAAGTGTTTGTTTCAAAAATCAATAATAGAGCTGGACTCTGATACCAATTTGAAGCTTTAGTCTTCTTATATAGCCTTCAGATGAAAAAAGTCGTTGTAAGGATAGAGAAGTATTTCCTTCTTCCAACGGTTGATTCCTAACGGATATATTCAAGGGAGGTTTTGAACAGTATGAAACTTCAATTTCCTATACATGCTACTTGCAGTGGTTAGCATACGACAATGGGAGAACAACTTCTTTGAATAGTACAATCAATATTATGATAGTAGATTGTAGTGTATTGTATTCTTCTTGATTAAGTTTCTTGATCTTTATCTTCTCAAGATGTACTTCTGTTTTTGAAGTATTAAGCTTGGAAGAGATCAATCACTTGTCTTCGTTCTTCTGATGACTGATGAGTAGTTCAGAAACTACTTTGTTGTTGTAGCGCAGGAACACCAGAGTGGTCATAACCAAATCTTGTCTTCAGAATTATGGGCAGCAGCCTATCTGAAACACAGAGTTTTTCTTCTGACCTAGAACTAATCTTGAAGGAATGTTTATTTTATGATCTTAGAGAATATTATGTTGAGAAGATGTTTCATTTCAGATTCTTTTAATAGTGGATCCTTGTTTTCAGAATGATCGACAACATCCTATCTGAAATAACAAGTCTTGACATTGTACGTGAAAGCTTTTCTGATAAAGATATCAAAAGCTTTTATGACTTTGGATCTTGAAATCAGATATTATGATAATATCCTATCTGATTTTCAAGTCTTTGAATTCTTGATTTTTGATTCTTTTCTTCTTGTTGGAATGATTCTAATTGAGGAGTAGTAATGATCCAAAATATTCTTCTTTGTTGTAGAGTCATGGTCTTTAGATATTTGAACATTGTCTTAAAATATACAAGTAACAACTTATCTGATGTTGAATTCCTTCTTTCTAATCTCTTGAATTCTGATATAAGGATTGAGCTGAAAGCAACAGCTTATTGTCAGAAATTAAATTATTAGAATGTTAACGCCTATTGTTAAAAAAATTAAGTGATTTGAAAATATAGAAAGAAAACATATAAAATATGTAATAAGGAGAATAAAATGAATAGACTTTATAATTTAAAATATATTAATGCGTGATGTCAATCCTTATATATCCACCAACTTTATTAATTTTTAGTATTAAATATTTATAATTAATTATTTTAACATGATTTTCATAAAATACCATACCACCTAATATGAATAAATATTTTCATCCTTACATTTTCAATTTCAAAATAAAACAGGATTGTTAAATGACTTAAAACATTTAAAAAATAACAGAAATTAATCGTGTAAAGCCAGAGACAAGAATTAACATCTACCTATGTAAAAATTATAAAACTTAGAAATAATGAATATATAAAAATTAATAAAACCTATAGCCAAAATTAAAAAAAAAAACCATGGCCAAAAATATAAATTTAAAATCATATATATTAAGGGAAGATGACTTTGAAATTGCTTATTTTGTTTCGTTAAAAGATGGATAGTATATCCATAGAAAATTCATTTAAAAATACTAATAAATATAAATTATGTATAGAAAGAAAATGTATGATGAATCTAATCAGTTAAATATGGAATATGGGAGTAATAAAAATAGTAAAATTGGAAAATAACAAAAGAAACTGAGAATCAATCAATTTGATAAAAAAAAAAACAGAGATGTAGCCTCAGAATTGCAGAATAGTATCAACAAGGCAAATAGCCATTCGGTCCCGAAAGATGGTATTTGGTGTATGATATCCTCATCGGCAACATCCTGTTTTGTTTTCTATATAAATATATGCATTCAGGTTAAACAAAACAACAAAATAAAAGGATTACTAGAATGTGCGTATCATGGCCAGTCCCAAGAAGTAAAGGCAGCGACGCTGCTCCACAAGGCAATGGAATATGAGACAGACAACAACGGAGGAATTCTCTCCGATGAAGAGAAAACCATCAACGTCAATGCTTTGTTCTGCGACGTTTACTTGGCGTCATACAAACACAATTTCAGTTTTGCCTCCATAAAAGTTAGGGATTTGGATTAAAATCCCCCGTCGTAAAACAATAAACAGTAAAATTCAAAATAGATCTGTGCATCAGTGGAATGAACGGTGTCCACAAGGATATCTAACACATCCATTCGGTTCAAAGTGAAGAATTTGTGATTTACACATCACACGCACTTTTATAAACTAATTACTCAAACATTCAGTTTGAAAAAAATACAAAGTGTAGACGAGAAACAATCGACTCGCCAATGAAAAAATGACGGACGAAACGATGACTCGGCGATTGTTGTACCTCGTTGTTATAACGATGCAAGAGAAACTTTTAGAGTCTCTTCATCACTCTGTTTGAACGATCGAGGAACTAAACGGTTAGATCTATAATTTGAAAAGGAATTAATTTTGAAAACCTAATTCCGCTATTCTGGATGAAAATGGCCGTATTTGAGGCATTATGAAGAAGGAAGCTGTATGTGCATCAGAGCCATAGATGCAATTTATAGGCCAAAACGATAACCTAATTCTGCGATTGATGTCATTAGACTAAAATACCCTTTTCATTTGTCTGTTTTATGAAAATGGATTTATCCATCAATGTAAGCGGGGTTCAAGTTCAGGCCAATGGGCCAACCATTGTAATCCATCACTTATGTGGATTTATTTAAGATTTTGCACTCTAGTCTTTCAATTATTTTGTGGGAATTTATTTTTTTATCCTTATACTTTTTAAGTTATCTGACGAAATTCTGTTTTTATCTTCAAATTTAGAAATGTATCTCTGAATACACTATATTTTATTTTTCTAGGGTATTTTCGGAGATGTATAGTCGAAACATTTTTTTTTTCATAATTATGAGTATTTCGGAGATACATCTCCGAATTAGATTATTACAATAACAAATATGAACAGTCACTCATCATTCTCATTTCTTCTAAATTCTAACTATCAAACACTCCAAAAATCTCAAAAATTTCTACTTCCAAAACTCATTCAAGTTTATCTACTCATTTGCACTTCTTACAACTCACTCCAACTCAACAAAATTTGAAATACTTATAGGGACCAAAAATATATTTAATCATATTTAAAAAAAAAAAACTCAAATAACTACTATTTCAGAAAATATACTAAACTAACTATTTTTCAAATTAAAAAATACCACATAAAGGAGGTGTCACTCTGTGTGGTGCATGCTTTCAAAATAAAGAGGATGTGTCACATTGTATGGTGCATGCTCCTATGTCATGTCATGCAGTGTGGTGTTTGCATTATGTCTTTAAAGAGGAGGCGTCATCCAGTGTGGCTACTCAATTATTTTGGTTTATTTATAAATACACCCATCTATCTCCACCATTTATCACACATTTCTCATCCATCTCCGTAACTTATCACACATATTCTCATTCCACTTTTAAATATGTCTTCCATAATGCTTCCAATGTTTCTAATTACCAAAAGAAATGTTCAACTTATTTTTTCGTTAATAAAGCCTCTAATGAAGATCTGACTTTGGAACACGAAGATCTTCGAGCATTTTTAGAGGTGCTTGATCCGCTGGTTAGACGGAGACATTCGTGACGCTGAACAGATTAAGAGAATTGATAGGCTTGTTATTGTGTTCAACCAAAATGGAGAAACCCGTTCTTATAAACCGACAATGATGTCCTTATGATGATGTTTGGACCATTTGATATTCTCTTGATGGTTGTAATATCATAGTTGAGTTTATGTGTTTACTCGTTTTATTTGTTTATTGTGTGTTGTTTTATGTGTAGTTGTTTTTATTTTGTTGTACCCAAATGTTATCTTTCAGAATGTTTCCAATGCTGACATGGTGTTGACGACTCATATTTGAACATCAAGTGAAGTATTACCCCCATAAGATGAAGCTGATTCAGAAACAGAAGAAGTAATTTGTAAAGAGGTATTCTTTGATCTTACTCATTATGAATTAACATATTCTTTAGTTGAAATTCTGGAAAAATATGAGTTACTGAAGATCCGGTTCAAGGATCTCAAAAAGACCCATGAATTTGTATCTGTTGAAATCAGTAAGCTGAGTGAAGAATTTTTTGTTTTAAACGAAGAAAACTTTTTATTAAAATATGAAAACTCTGTCCTTAAAAGGCACGAGAACTCTTCTAGAAGCCTATGAAGGTTTTGATGATGTCATCAAGAAATATGACAAAGCTTTCCAGAAATTTCTACTTAAGAGCATAGGGAGAAGCACGCTAGCTTCTATGATTTATGGTGTAAGCAGAAATGGAGTAGATGGTATCGATTATGATCCTCATGAAAAATATAAATCTAATAAGGAAAACATACCAACTATCTTACACTTTCATTTTGTGCCTGCTGGATTTGTGACAAAAGAAGATGGAAAAGATCAAGAGAAATCTGATTATAAATCTGATGATACTCCATTGGCTAAACCAAAAAGTTTTAACTCTTGTAAATATGATTACTCTTCTGCTAAAACCAAACTTGTTTACAACTCTGGTAGAACTAACAAGAAAGGACCCAAGGAATTATGGGTACCAATAGATGAGATAATATATGTTGTAGGCGTCCTTAGCAATGCAAATGAAACACTCGTCTGGGTACCAAGGCTCTAGCTACTTGCAACTCATGATGGGAAAAACGTATATGTTCCAAAGTCTGGAACTTAAGCCCTAAGAACGTCATGGATTTCGGAGGTGATCAAAAAGGGAAGATCATAGACTCCAAAATAATAATTGCTTGTTAAAGATAACTCTATCCTATTCAATTAAAGGAAAAGAAAACATCATCTATAAGATCAGACTTTCTGACCTTATACAAAATGTCTCATGTCTGTTAACAAGAAGCAGTGGTCATGGCACTAATGGTTAGGTTATGTCAGCTTGAAATTTTTCTCTCAGTTGAACAAGCTTAATCTTATCAGAAGCCTACCCAAACTGAAGTTTACTTTAGATGCTCATTGTAAAGCATGTGAGGAAGAAAAGTTTTCAAAAACTTCTCTCGAAGAAAAGAATGTTGTTTCCTTCTCCAGACCCTTGAAACTTCTGCACATTGATTTGCTGAGTTAGTGAAAACTAAGTCAATCAATGAAAAGAAGTATGAATTAGTTATGTCTACAATAGATGGACATGGGTGAAGTTTCTCAATCACAAGGATGAGTCACATTATGTTACCACCTTATGTATCCAAGTGCATACTAAGATAAGTCTTTATTTTGTCAGGGTTAGAAATAATCATGGTGAAGAATTTGAAAAAAAATCTTTTTTTAACCAATTGGCAAAGCACCTATGGGAAGAGGCTGTAAACACAGTATCCTGGACAGTGTCTTCACAGATCTATTCTTGGGATGACTTCTTATGAATTGTGGAAGAACAAAAAACCCAACATTTCATATTTTCATCTGATTAGATGCTCTTGTTTTATCCTAAAAGACTAAAAGAATTTTGAACAAGGTTGATTCAAAAACTCAAAGTTGTATCATGTTAGGATGTTCTGATTGCTCAAAAGGCTACAAAATGTATAACCCTGAAACACTCTATATAGGAATCAACTCATGATTATATTTGATGATAAGCTTGACTCTAAGAAGTCAAATCTAGTTGATAAGTTTGCAGGTATGAAGATTACTTTTCAGAATCTGAAAGTAATAAAAGTTGTTGCTAAAGTTAAAAAAGTAGGAAAAATCTGAAAATGATCATACAAAAGCTTCCAATGATCAAACTCATTTGAATAAGATCCTGTAAAGACCATTGTGAAAGGATTTGTATAGGCTCTGCAAGAAGATTTTTTTTTGGACCAAGTAGTTGATCAAAAAGGGGATTCACGTCATTACATCAAAAATGAATTATCAGAAACAAGGTTGATAATGAAGGAGAACTCATCATAGTCAAATACATCAAGTAAGTATTAATACATTTTCTGACAAAGTACTTATAAATACTTTTACCAATTATAAGTCATCTAGACAGGAAATGTTTAAATCAAGAAAGATGTGTGTTTCCATGTTTAAAAATTAATCTTGGAGCAATAAAAAATCTTGAGAATAGATGAAAAATATCTCTTGTTTTACTTTTATCTCCTGTGACTGAAAAAATAGGATAAGATATTCAGATATCAATGTTATAGATTTTCCTTGCACGTTCTACTCTAATTTGTTATGGAAAAGAGGTGTATTGATCTAAAAAGTGGACCATCAATATCCGATGGCATGTTAAGGTTTCGTTCATTTTGCGAGAGGGTGCATTTTTATGATGGGAGTACACTATTTTGAAATATCATGGGCCTTTCTAAATCAGAAAGGGTCCATGTGATGTTTTTAATCCATTTCAAGTATTAAAAAAGATGGGTCCATAAAACAAATCAGTCTTTTTAAGAAGCCCAATAAAACATTGAGCCCCGTTCGATTTTTGGTTTGAGGATTTTTGTTTTTAATTACATTATTATCATTATTATCATTATTATTAATATTATTATTTTTTATAATTACTTTTATCAATTATTATTAATATTGATTTTCTTTTTAGATCATTATTTTATAACTTAAGTAAAAAAATAGAGATGTTTGTTTTAGTTTTTGAAATGTTAACGAAACATGCTTGGTCCAAATAATTTATGGCAAATCAAAATGAAAACAGGCATTGTACGAATTAAGGAAAAGAAGCGCACGCTTTAAGTATTTTGCAACAGTCCCTGTTCAAATTATGAGAAAGATAATATACTTTTTCAGTACAAAAATGTATATTATTCAAATCGTAAGAAAGAATAATTAAATAGAAGTAAATCTATACATTTAGTTTCCAGAGACAATATCAAACTAATACATAAACTAAGTTAATACAAGACAAAATTAAGTTCATAATCAATAAAAATTAAAAATTGTATTAACTTTATAGACATATTAAATTGTTTCCTAAATCTATAAGTCCTAATTAAAATCATATTAAAATCGTAGACAAATTAATCTATTTCCTAGTCTGTAAATCCCTTAAAACTCTATAAAAACCTAAGATTAACATAGAAGGAGGACCACAAAAAAAAA